TTAGGGTTGCTTCTAGTTTATTCTGGTATGTTTGTGAAAATATTAATAGCTGGAAAAGCATTAAAAAAGTATGTAGGAGAGGAAAATACATACATTTTATACTTCATGAATTCTCTGTTAAAACAGACTCGCCTTAGAACGTGACTTTGTATGGTTATCTGTGTTCTGTCTTTCAGTGTAAAGTTCTGGAACAACGGCTGGAGCAGGGGATGGTGTTTACTGAATATGAGCGCATTCAGAAAAAAAGACTTATAGATGGCGAGTGCTCAATAGCTCGGCTTCCTGAAAACGCTGAAAGAAACCGGTTCCAGGATGTCCTTCCTTATGATGATACCAGAGTAGAACTAGTCCCAACCAAAGAAAATAACACGGGTTACATCAATGCATCTCATATCAAGGTGAGAGAAATACTGTTGGAGAAATATTTTCCAGTTCATGTGGTAACTAAAAATGGATTTGGCTGTCAATTTTGCTTTGGTCAGATGAGTGAGAATCCCTCCATCTCTCTTTTCTTCTTCTGCAGAAGTTTCTTTGGGGAAAGGAGGAACCTGTTTTTCCTCATTACCTAGAATAATGGAGGGTTAATTATTGGAGAGGTCTTCTGCATCTTGCTTCTGTATTGATCTACTGTCTCATTTCTCTCTCTGTCTCATCTCTGTGGATTGGTGCTGACAGAAGGCATGTCCATTCTTCCCAGAGTTAAGAAGCCAAATAGCTTTATAACAAACTGGGATCCTTTATGATGATTACGATATTTTTGAACTACAGTGACAATCCTTATTATTTCTTCCTCCTCTGTAGTCTCAGACTAGATCCACAACAGGCAGTAAGCTAGCTAGCAAGCTTTTTTTGATGGTTAGAGGAACAGATGGAGCCAGGGGGAAATCTGCTCTTTCATAATCTTCAGTTGCCCCCTTTCCCCAGCCTTAGCTCTTTAAACTCTTTTCTAAAAAAGTGAAGAGGTTGCAGGGTGACCTCAAGAACCTTCAAGGCAGTTCGTTCATTTTCAATGCATTTACCTGCTTAAAGTGCAGCTACAATTGGCTTCATGCTTTATCTGGAAAGAGTTGAGATCGTCAAAGCAGCAGTGGTAGTTGTGTTGCTGTATTTTTAATAAATCAGTTTGCACACTGACATGATACCATAGTTTCTATACAACTCATTCACAAATGTTGAGTAACTCTTCTGACCCTTCTCAAACAAAATAATATTTTTTGAGGAAACATCAGCTAATTTCGACTTTTTAGTGCATATAATAGCATTTACAGCACCAGGGTATGAAAGTTTCTCTAAACCTGAATTGGCTAGAAAACCTTAAATTCACAAAAGAGAAATATGATTTTATTTACTCACTTTTACATTATGCCTATGATGTAAAATACATTTATTTAGCTATGTGCCTATACAATTTTAAACATTGTGTCTTCTGCATCTAACATGACAAGATGCAGCTAAAAAATGGGAGGCAGATATAACTCACAGCGGGCTCCTACTTGTGCAGTTGTTGCTGTCTTTTTTCAGTTTGTGCATCTTCAAATGGCTGACTTAAGAATTGGGGAAAGGGAGTTTTCAATAATTACTAATCTAATGCCTTTCTTCTTACAGATCTCTGTTGGCAGCATAGAGTGGGATTACATTGCTACGCAGGGCCCTTTGCAGAATACATGTCAGGATTTCTGGCAGATGATCTGGGAACAAGGGATTGCCATCATAGCTATGGTGACAGCAGAGGAAGTGAGTATAAACTGCATCAGGTTTCTCCCAGAAATTCTGCAATGCTTTTGTTATGATCTGTTAGTGGAAGGGGATCTTTGCTCCAACAATGGCTCCTTTGCCATTCTGTCTTGCTTTCCTTGGCAGAAAGATGTAAATTTGCAAACTCTTTCCACTGGAAAGTTGGTTTACTAAGTGAGAAACTGTAACACTGTAGTGGTACTTAACAGAGGAGAGGTACAGTTGTTATGGGAACATTAGTTTTATGAGTGTTACTATGTTCCTTGTTAAGCAAGTATTTAACTTTTCAGGAAAGTGGGCGAGAAAAAAGCTTCAGATACTGGCCACGTCTTGGTTCAAGACACAACACTGTAACATATGGAAGATTTAAGATTACCACACGATTCCGTACTGACTCAGGCTGCTATGCAACTACGGGTTTGAAGATTAAACATCTTCTCACAGGACAGGAGAGAACAGTTTGGCATCTGCAGTATACTGACTGGCCAGAGCATGGCTGTCCAGAGGATTTAAAGGGATTTCTCTGTAAGTTGTATTTAATAGCTTTGTTTTGGGGTTGGGTTTTTTGGGTGTGTTTTTTTTTTTTGTTTGTGGGGTTTTTTTTTTGTTTTGTTTTGTTTTGTTTTTTTTTTTTAGCAACCTCCTAAAATGGCTGCTATACGTGAATTAGCTTGTGATAAGTATGCCAAGCATTCTGCTGTAAAAGGTTTCTTTACACTAGCAAGAGATACTGAATTATATTTTTGTCTAAAACCAAATATATAATTTACTAAAAGTTCAAATAGATTAAAACATAATTGCATCATATACTGCACATTTGGGTATGTTCCATCAGTAGCAAGATGGCCACGTGTCGCCTTTGGTAGGGAATAGGGGAGCGAGGCAAGGAAAGCCATACAAAAGTTAGATGATCTTTATAGATCTGTATTGCTTTGGTTGTGATATGACTTGTGATTTATATAGTGTGTCATTTTTCTGTGGGGTGTCATTTGTTAAATTACTGTTTTTCTGATGGTCATACAGCGTAATAGCACAGCTTATGGGGCTTCATCTTGTAAATTTGTTATTCTTATCTTGTTGAACTCAATAGCATACTTGGAAGAGATACAGTCAGTGCGGCGCCATACGAACAGCACTGCGGATCCTAAAAACTCTAATCCTCCTGTACTGGTACATTGCAGTGCAGGTGTAGGACGAACAGGAGTGGTCATACTGTCGGAGATCATGATTGCTTGCTTGGAACACAATGAGGTGATTCCTTTTTCTTTCTCATACTTTAAATAATGTTAGGTAGTGGAAGAGTAAATAACCTGCCTAATAAATATTTTATGGCTGTTCACTGAGTTTTCCCAAGATGTGGCCTTTGGAAGAGCCCTTACAACTGTGGTTGAAAGAGCTCTTGGCAATTCAACTGAAGTTAATAATTTTCTAGAGTTGCCCACTTATGAACTGGGTAGTGGAATGGTCATTTGGATTCTTGACTTTATAAGATGTTGAGTTCACTGAGTGGAATAAGGTAATCCCTAGGCTACTAAGCATATTTCAGGATTTCACCCTGACTTTACCACTTTTACTTCATGCCTTAGTTGTAATGGATAATATTCAAGAACATGCTTTGTAGCCAGTCTCTGTGTTTGTTATTAACATTTTGTTCCAAAGTGTAGTGTATCTGCAGTATCAGTCTTAGCAGAGGACAAAGTGGTAGTTTAATAGAACAAAACCTGGTCCTGTCAGCTTTTAGCCAGAAACAAACAGCTGCAAATTGTTTATTAATAATATAATATGCCAGCTGAGACTCAACAAACTGATTGTTTCATTGTGCATCCCTGCCCTAACACTGTGACAGACTTTTGCAGCCATTAGATTTGTGAAGACCCATACCCCATGAGATAGGCAAGTTTAACTTTATGCCTGTTTCACAGATGATGAGGTAGGCATGGCCAGTGCTGTAGTGCAGTCCATACTGCAGGCATGGGCAATGAATTATTGGAGCTGAAATTAGAGCAGCTGATTCTGCCCTTAGATTACCGGTACTGCTCTGAACCTCCTTCTGAAAAGTGCAAGCCAGTCTCCTTGCTCACCAGTCGTTTGTAACGGTTTGTTCTCTTCCTCCAGATGCTGGACATCCCACGAGTGCTGGACATGTTGAGGCAGCAGAGAATGATGATGGTGCAGACACTTTCACAGTACACTTTTGTTTATGGAATTCTCATTCAGTTTCTCAGAAGTTCTAGACTTATATAATCCCTGCTATTTCCTAAGGGACACTGAAAGAGTTTACAGAAAGAAAATTACAGTTGTCCAGGCAGACCTGCTCTCACTGGTGTTTTCTTTGTATGATGAATCACACAGCTACCTTTTAGGGCTGGTGTGTGACTGTGAAATACGAGTCAGTGTAACAGTCCCTGCAAAGCAGGGTCTTCGCTGGACTAAATTCTTCCCATGTTTGGTTGCAGCCATATGAGGGAATGATCTTACTTGTACTGGTCTGTAGTACTTGCATACGTTCTTTAGAGTGGTGTTACTCTGGGCAAAATAAGGAATGGAAGTACCTGGCACAATTTTACTAACGTTATGTTTTAAAACGTAATTATTAACTGTACGAAAGCTAAAATCTGTAGATGCACATGGGGTGAGAAGCCTGCTCCTTGGGAACGTCAAGGTCTTATGCAGTTTCATTCTGCTTTCAATTTTATATTTAGAACAATACATCTATATTTTTTTAAATGAACTTTTGGTTTCCTCTGGTTTACTCGGGAAAATTAGCAGCTTAGATACTTTAAGCTGTTGCTTTAAGGACAGTTATTTTTATATTCAGCATTTTTTAATTAAAAAAAACCCAGAACACCACAACCCAAAATTTTTTAAACAGCATAATATTTTCAGAAGAGAAGACTGACCATGTTGGAACTAACTTTTCAAAAATCATGCAGAAAGTACTAGGGGAAGCTATTGGTAGTTAGTTGTAGAGCCGTGTAATAGAACTGACATGTCAAAGATGATGTTAACTGTTGATAACTTACATTTGAGTGGAGGCATGTTTACCTGCAACAGGCAGGGGAAAAATATTCTAATTATCTACAAGGTTATTGGAAACAAATGGGTGAGAGAAAGTACATATTCAGTATTATTCATATATTTAGAGGACAGTTTGATTTTACTGGCTGAAATCAAAGTGGATGCAAATGTTTTAAGCACTTTTTTGCTCTGTTATTTATGTAGTTAAACATAGAAACTATAATCATGCATTGTTTCATATGGTAATATACCATTACTAACTTGTTATTTTAGGAAGAGCCTTTTAAGTTGATGAAGTGAGAGAACCAAAATTGGCGTAAGAAGGTGCATAGTGGTGAAGGGGAAATGATTGTATGAAACATAATGGAGGAGATGTGGCAGCTATGATTGCTGGTTTACACAGTGCAAAGATGACCATTACAATGTTTATGTTCTCAGTCAAGAAAGCCTTAAAGCACTGGAAGTTTCTGTAGAATCCTCCAGATTATTTTGTCAGTACTAGAACAGATTTTGCTAATGCTGTGCAGCACTGCAATGAAGAATATCCACAGAAGCTGTTTGAGAACACCTGCAGAATGTAAGAGCTCTTAGAGGTAACACTGGCAATGTGGGTATTTTAGTAGCTGTGTAAGTGGCTGAGTCAATGGCTGTGGCATGGACCTGAAGATGAGTCGTACCTTTGGTAGTTTCCATTTTGTCCCATGGGTCTGGTCTAATGACGGTATCCCTAAATAATCCTCTGTCTGTGGTTTTCAAATGGGGACAGTGTAGTTTTACCTGCCTTTTCAAGTGTTCTGAGATGCTGAGTTGAAAATCCCTATTCAAAAGTGAGCTATTAGTTTGTAGATATCTGAATGCATTTCAAAAACCCTATGGTAGAGCAGTCTGCAGGCATGTTTAAGTGTCCATTTCCATTGATTACATTCTTTTTGTAACTATGAAATGTCTAGGAAGTATTAACTGCCAAATGTAAGACTGGAAGTCCAGAGGAACCCAGTTACTGAAGCCTGATTCTTTATATATAAATCTTGGAAACAAACCAATTTGACATATCTGTGTTGACGGAAGTATTGAAACAAACAAACATACTTAGTTATTTGTATTATGCTGTGTTTTAAAAACATTGCTAGTTTTTGCCACAGTTCACTTCTATCTTCAGAAATATTTTTGAATAGGAAGGTATGTTCCAAAATGTAGCTTGTATTATTTCCATTTCTAGACTTTGGACTGTGATCTTCACAACCTGATACGTGCAGCTTTTAATGAAATCATATACAATCACAACTTCAGGCAACAATTTTTAGCTGTTCAGCAGTTACTAGGACAGAATATCAGCTGTGAGGCATTAAAAGGAGCAGTTAAAACAAGCAATTTAATCCAGAATTTATGGGATTATCTGAGGTGGGTGAGGAAATACGTGTCTTTTGGCTTTATTTTCTGTTTTGCTGAAAGAAGGTGTGTTCACTTTTAAAGGTGGTTGCTCTTTAATCTAGTAATCGCAGTCTTGATTTATCTTTTTAAGCATAACACTGCTAACTCCTCCACTTCAGCTTTCAGTTCTGTCCATCAGCAGTCCATTTTTTGCATTAACAGACTTAACCTTTTAATAGACGACTTTGTGTGAGTTTTTCTGCTGAAGATAGCAGGATTCCTTCTGTATGTAAGTGGCTCCAAGCGAGCATTGAAAATGAGCAGTTTCCTCTTGCAAAGATACCAAATGAAAATAAACTTCACAACCTCATGTGACAAAATTAATTTTAAAACCATTGTTTAGATTTTCAGTTAACTTTTAAAAGAAAATTCAGTTTTTAGCACTTTGTTCTGAGCCTTGAAAAGGGATGCTTTTTTACATGTAGTTGCGCTGGGTGCTTCATGAAGTGTTAGACATTATAAGAACATCCACTGTCCAAATCCAGTCAGAGTGTGAGTCGGAGGTGGATTTATTTGTCAAAAGCTTAAAATTCCACTATAAGCCTATCCATTTTGCCAAATGTGCTTCTGTTTTTATGGGGATGAAACCAGATTATTATGCAAGATTTGAGCTGACTTTTTTTAGTAAGAAAAGTTGTATGAAGACATTCTTGCAGTAAATGGCAAAGATGATGCTGATCTCTAGGCATGTCAGAGCTCTCAGGGATAAATAAAGGTGCTATATACTGTCAAGAGACAGATTTGACTGTCTTTTGTGGGCTGGGTGGAAAACACTTTTTAGGATCAAATTCTGTGAAGAGTCAGGAAAAGAACTCACAAATTGTAGTAAGGGCTTCTGCACATTTGATTTCTTTCTTGGTTGCTCTGATGAGAGATTCTTTTGGCCAGTGAATCTTTGTAGTCTTGGGCTAGAAGGTCTTCTCTAAGAACGTAAGTCAGAGCTCTGTTCATTGCAAAGATGTCACTGACTTAGCAGGCTTAGCTGCAGGCTGCAAATCACTTGGCCCGTTCTATGAAGGAGAAGCTCCATGGTACACAGGGGAGTTTTGCATAGCTTTTCTGCAGCCTGCACAGCAGCACTCTTCTTTTTCTGCTGTCCTCCATGAAGAGCAGGAAAAGTTTTATGCCTTAGTGTTGCTCTCATTGTGATACCTTTTGCACAAGTGAACAGTAAAAACTACAAGTGCAGGATGCTATGGGTTATATCTAGAAATACACTTAATTCAAAGCAGGTGAGCAAGGCAGAGTTCCTGTAATTTCTGTAGTTGACAAGCTGCTCTAAGTTATCATCAACGTTTAGAAAAAAAGGCAAAATAAAGTGATAACAGATAAAAGTAAAATAAATGTGTACTAAAATAGAAAAAAATTCTTGGCATTTTGAGAAATGTGGGTTTGGCTCCTGTTGTAATCCCGTGTATCTCTTTTTTGAAGTGCATGACATTTGGAGCAATTTTCTCCAAAAATAGCTTCTTAAATTTAATAAGTAAGACTACCTGAAGTGGCTGCTACATTTTTCTTGTTGGAGCAGCTGTTAAAGTTGAGTGGCTCATAGATTTCAGTGGCCTCTGGACCAAACTTGGGAACTGTGGAGTCGTTTATCATACAAGCTAGCTGTGTAATGAGACCTCAGTTTTAATATCAGTAACGCTACTAAAACCCTTAAAAATAGTGAACTCATTACTATATTTCAATAGTTAGTTCAAATTATTGAATTAAAAGAAACAACACTTCAATTACTAAGAGCTCTGTGCTTTAGAGTTTAGGGTTTGATTCCCTCCCCCCCCCCCCCCCCCCCCTACTGTAAAGAAGTCATGCAAAGCCAGAGTCCAGTCCTGCAAGATGCAAAATTCCTGCAGTTCTTCCTGATATTGTAGGAATTAAAATGGGCTCATTGCCAATGAAAGCTTGAGCCCTTAAAGCATGAATACTCGCATATCTCCTTTAAATACAGATTACAGGAATTAACCAAAAGAATGCAGCAGGAA